AACTACTATAGAACACAACTGTATCACACCACCCATTGTTGATCCAATCGGGGGGCTTTTGTTATTTAACTTGCTTATGACCTACATTTTTTGTTTCACCAAATAAGACTGTAAGCTTCGAGGTTTAGAATGTCATGCTACATTAAGTTTCCTACAGCATCTAGCAAAGTGGAGGGTGCAGATCACTATTTGCTGGGTTTATGTATGAATCTGTTTAGGTTCCAGATCAGATTAAGCCACATGTACAAGCGGCAGATGCAACAGCACAGGTCAGAGGGAATAAAGTCAAGAGTGCACAAAGGCTGGCTGGTGGTGCAAAGCAGAACCATGAAGTGAAAGCCCCTTGGTGAGACCAGGCCACCAGAGCAGGGTCTCTACACCGGGAAGATGAGTATGGTAGACATTAAGATCATTACATTCCCAGGCGTTACCTAGGGAGGCATGACAAGGAGGTGAGGATCCCACAACTGAGTTTCCCACCCTCTCCTTCCAAAAAGGAAGTAAAACTTTTTGGGGGCCTAAAATAGCAATAACAAATTCATTTGCTGTAAACAATCTTTTAAACTGTAAACATCTTGAAAATGGGTAGAAGACAATGTTCAGCCCCTCTCATTGGTGAGAACCGTTTAACTGGATTTCCCCCCTTCAAAATATTTGGGACATAACCAACTGCATGAACATTTGCGTGTGAAGGCAAAAGAATTTAGCCCTGTAAGTTAGGGTTGGGGCATTAATGGGTGGCTCTGGGCAACCGCAGCAATGCTGAATAGTGGATGGGTTTGATGAAAAAATTGCAGAAAAAAAAGGAAAGGGAGACAAGGCCAATGACTGCCTTGTCTAAGAAATGAAATATGGCTGTGCCTTGGGTAAACCAGCAGGGGGGAGAGGAGGGGCGGCCTGCCATGGACTTCAGTTGATTAAGGATCCATGAAGCCAGGTCCAGGATTGGCTGTGCAAAGAGCAGGAACATAATCATGCTCGGGAGTACAGGGAGAACAGGCAGCTCCTGACACAAATCTGGTGGGTGGAGTCTGGCCCACTGCTACAAACAGGGAACGCCCTCAGAAGGCAAGTGAAGGTTCTGGAAGAAGGGGTCGGGTAGGCATGGAGCACTTAATGAGTGGAAGGAAAAGATTCTGGATTAAATTAAAGGTGTGAACTTGTCTACATTAGTTCAATAATCAGTGAATATATTTAAAATAAAAGGCTATTTTCACCTCATTGCAATCTGAAGTTACAGAAATATTTATTTTAAAATTAGCACTTTATATATATATATATATAAACATATAAAAAACACAGAAGTGATTTAAAGCTCCAGAGTGTATTGTTTCAGTTGGTGTTATTGCTATCTATACCTTCACCCCATTTATTAAGCCATTTCAAGTGACTTTAAGTTCCCATGTGTCCAAATTAGAGGGCCTGCAGGGCTCCTCAGTGGCGTTTCCTGTGGAGACCTGTGCCCCATGGTACGATTCAGGGTTTCTCCTGCACATCTGGATGTGACCTTTTGGATCCTCTGGCTGTGGCTGGTTTAGTCTCCTGTTTCTAACAGTGGGTCGCTTTGCTGCCTAGGAGTTGATCCAAGCTTCCAGATTCCCTTCTTGTAGACCTCAATTATGTACATGTGAGGTTCAGAGAGCTGGCCAATCTGACGAGTGAGAACACTTTCTTAAAGGAGGAACTGCCATTCCAGCATTAACTATCCTTAATCCTACTGCACAAACTGGTTTCATTCTTGGAATGGTGAAGATCATGGCCAAGAAGCAATGTCCTTAGTGGCTTCCTCCGAGAGTTAATCCCCGAGAGAGAGCCATCTGGCCACTTGCTTTTTATCACATTTCTAATAGCTGCTCCATTTCCTCAAGGGCTGCTGTAAAATCATTTACTTGGCTGTTACATAGGGTCTGCTGCTCTAGGAACCGGGCCCTCTCTTCTTCTTTCATCTTCAACTTTACTTTTAAGGCCTGTTTGGAAAGATATTAAAAAAGACAAAAACAAACAAAAACTTTGAAACATTATGCTTCTGTCCCATTGAGGAAGAATTCTCTGTATTTGTAGGGGAATTGAATTTTCTTTGCAAATTTTCTGTAAATCAAAAATTATAGTTTATTAAAATAAAGAAATAGATAAATAAGAGAGAGCCCTCCAACCCTAGCTGGTTTGGCTCAGTGGAGAGAGTGTTGGCCTGTGGACTGAAGGTTCCGGGTGTGATTCTGGTCAAGGGCACGTACCATGGTTGCAGGCTCCTGGCCCTGGTTGGGGGCATGTGGAAGCAACTAATTGATATGTCTCTCTCGCATCCGTGTTTCTCTCTCTCTTTCACTCTCTTCCACTCTTTCTAAAAATCAATGGAAAAAATGTTCTTGGGTGAGGATTAAAAGTGAGAGAGAGAGAGAGAGAGAGAGAGAGAGAGAGAGATATCCCTCTATAGATCCATCTACTGTAGTAGGAATATAATTTTTCCTCAGGGTGATGTCTGCCTCTCACCTGTAACTCCTCCATCTGTTTTTTTGCTGTTTCGTTAAAAAGCTTCAATTCATCTTGCAAAGTTTCTAACAGCAACTAAAAGCAAAGTACAATTAGTAAAATAAAGTACAAATCTTCATTGGTATGTGAACATTTTCTTCATATAACTAATCTCTTTGTATAAAAGGGGAGCTGAATTAGATGACTGCTAACGTCATGCAGCCATTGGCTGCGTCCACACACATCTGGCTTCTCTACTGGGCACCCTGGAGGAACTCAGTCCCCAGGAGGGGCGAAGGAGTATCCCACTTCTATGAGTTCTGCTACACAAGCAACACGAACACACGTATCCACTGAAGGGGTGACTAATAACCTGGGAGAGCTGAGGGTGGTTCCATATCTAGTGCTCTATGACTTTAAGATGACAACTCATCTTCTGATCATAGAAACTCAAGAGACTTTAATCCCAAACAATTACCTTTCTACCTCATTATCTAGTTCTCAGCGAAGGAATAAGGAGAGAAACTGGTCTAGTATAAAACAGAAACCAGAAAGTGCTGTATACAGGTCTATCCTGTTATGTGTTTTAAAGTAGCACATTTTCAACTCAGACTCACTCATATTCGAAAGCACAGGTCACCTGCCAAGTAAGATATGCTCTTTTGAGTACATATCCACCACTCTCCTCTTCCACTATCCTGGGTCCCAAAGGCTGCTTCTCGGGGTTTACTGAGCATATGGCAGCGATCTCCTGGAGCCGCGGTCCCTCCGCCCTCGGCCCTCGCCCACTCACACCCAGGCCCTCACCATCGAGTCCATGTGATCCGGGTTGGATTCCTGCTGTGATTCCAGGGTTTCACTGTCTAAATGTAATGGAGACAACAAAATTAGCCTCGCTTAGGGAACTGTACCTTCCACAAAATAAACAACCAAAAAACCCCTCTAGGCCAAGGACAAGCACAGAGTTTTCACGAGGGACAGTTCTCTAAGAGCTGCTCCTGACTCCCCGGAGTTTCCACCCTGGCAGTGTGCCACGCCTGCCTCGAGATACCTTTTAGCTCCTTCCTTTCTGTGTTTGGATATGGCCAAAAATTCATTCTGCTCTCTCCTCAGAAAATTTGTCCAAAGGCAATGTATAGTTTTGTTTACAAAACACAGAACTATTTTTTAAAGTTTTTTAGGCCTTATTATTTTTGATAAAAATAGTGCATACACATAATAAATTAAAATAATATAAAAACATATATGAAGAATATATCCTAAACTGTACAGTTAACCAGTAGCATTCAGTCAGCATTCCTTAATTCAAGAAGCTTGGGGCCCTTCCCTGGGATGCTCAGGCCCCTCAGCTCCGTCTCCTCTCTGCTCTAGACTGATCTCTAGGGAGAGGGTCAGAGCTGGAATCCCACTTTAACCGCTGGGATTCTGCCGATTAGCCAGAAACAGTATCACCTCTCTCTCTTCCCACTTGAGAAAGTTAACTGTATGCTACCAATCTTGAAAGAAATAAAATATTTCTGGTCTAATTTGCAAGGTCATACCTTTGGGCACCAAAGTGTTCAGATAAGAAAGCGATAATCCTCTCTCCACAACCACCTGGAATCGGTCAGGCACAGTCAGCATCACCAGAGAAAAAAAGGTGCTCCAAACTCTGCATGCCTCGGCCAGCTGCCGCCACGCTGGACCCTAACACACAGCCCAGAACCACCCCAGCAGGGGCACGCACACTGATTCCTTTGAAGGCTGCTGTGTGCCGTTTCTTACCTGGGTTGAGGCCCTTGCTCTCCAAAATCGCCAAACTGTTGTCCTGAAACTTCTGCAGCAGCTCCACCTTTTCAGTCAGGTCCTTCAGCTTTCCCTGTGGTGCCATGCACAGATCAGGCCTGTGCCACTCCTCAGGGGTGGTCTGAGCGGCTGTCCCTCGGGGTTCCACATGCATCACCCAGTGTGGCTGATGGCACAGGCCTGGTGGGTCTCTTACCTGAGTTTCAGTCAACTTCTGGTGTAACTGCTTGTTGACGGCCTCTAAGATCTGGTTCTTATCCTTGAGCTCTTCCTCTGACTTCTGCTTACTCAATGGCCTGTAGCTGTAATGATAACTGTACTTATATGAAGTGGTGGGGGGTAAAGAGTATGGACTGGGTAGTCTCACAAATAGGAGTTCGAATCCTGGCTTCATCACATAGTGGTATATGACCTTCAGTGAGTTGCATAACCTCTCTGAGGCTCGGTTTCCTTATTTCCGGAATTAGGATAATACCTACCTCTCATAATATTATTATTGTGAAGAATAAGAGAAAGCACACATGTACCATTCTTAGCAGGCCACTGACACATAGTAAACATTTAATAAATAACAGCCATTATCACCATTAATATTAAACGTTCTTTTCAAATTTCTCAGAGTTCTTCTTGGATAGAGTTTTGTTTTCAGAACTTTTAAAACATGCCCAGATTTGAAATTAGAACCTGTTTCTACAGAATTTTCAGCTTATATTATTTCTGTTGTCAGGACTGCAAAATGCCCAAGCTAGCCTCCAAGACAGAAAGACAGGTCCTTCTCGTGGATTTCTCCTTCACCAGAAATACCATCTTGAAATTGCTAACTACACGCAGCCCCTCCGATCTCGAAGGCTTCACACTCCTGTTGAGAGGTCACAGCTGGGTCTGACTTCTGGTCAGCGTGGTCCTGGCACGGAGCCCCAAAAGCTCTTGACTGGCACTCAAGATGGTAGCTTCACTAATCGTGCCCTGATAGTGTTTCTCAAATCTAGAAATTTCAGGGGTGCCTCACCCCTGAAAATTCCATTCAGATTTCTGGGTGGCACCCAGACTGTAACACATTAAACAAGTCCCAACAAGTCCTGCACAACCAGGACTGAGATCCACTAACACGGTGCCCAACCTTCATTTACCCTGATGCTCACCTCTTTTTGATGTTCCTCTTGATGGCAGTATCTGCAGCTTTCCCCTGCCTAGCGGAGCAAAGACAAAGAAATCAGAATGTAACTTGACTTATTGTGGCAAACATTTTGCAATATGTACACATATCACATCATTATGCTGTATACTTGAAACTATAACGTAGTCAATGCCTTAATTAAAAGCCAATGACAAAGGAATCAAGCAGAGAATTGTAACAGGTTGTTATATGTGTTGTGAGCAAAGCAGAACAGAGAGGCTGGTTTTCTGAGGAAAAGAACCAGAGATTTTAAACAATACAAATAACACCAGACTGAGAAGCTCTGAAGCCCATGCACGTTGTTTCAGCCCAGATTATTGAAAAAGACTTATTAATAATGAACTCCCCTCCTACTCAAAAACGAATGGCCTTCTCATGACAACCTCACTTGCATGGGGACTGAGCACTGGGTGGAGGGACACACATGCGCACTGGGCTGGACTGTGCTCAGACCAGCAACACAGGCTAACAACCAGCCCACCCACCGTGACTACCATTCAGGGCTGGGGTATGACCACAGTCAGCCATTGTACACTCCGAGCCGCGGTGAGAAGGAAAAGGGTGTCTCTTAGCATAGCCCTTGCTGTGCCTCTTCAGAACTGATCGACACGCAGGGTCCTGACAACAGCTCAGCAATGAGGCACTGATCCAGGTCCCTGACTCCAGGCTAACTGTTCAGGTGCCTTGTGCTCTGAAACCCCCCCTTTCTAATTCCTGGTACTGAGCAATTTCTAACTGGATACCAATGATCTCACCCACCCATTCTCTCGTCTCGGTTTGATGCCTTTCATTACATCATTTTCTGAAACTCCTGGATGAAGAGATCTGGAAGCATCGGCTTCTTTCGACTTCACAGGTAATAAGCTCTTAGAAGTGGCTCGAGTTTGTGGGTCTGCAAAGGGAAACAGGAGGGTGAAACCTCAAGCAGAGTTCCATTCTAAGTTGTCAGAAACTTGTACTTCATTCTGGCCAATCTCAATTTGCGAAGATCGAACCAGCGACCTTTTGGTGCATGGGTTGACACTCAACCACTGAGCCACACGGGCTTCCATTGATCTTTAGAGAGTAGAAGGGAGGGAGAATGGGGGAGAGGGAGAGAGACAGAGAAACATCAATGTGAGAGAGATACAGCAACTGGCTGCCTCCCACATGCACCCTGACGGGGGCTGGGATTGAACCCACAACCAAGACACAGGAATCCAGCCCAAGACCCTTTGGTCCGAGGGCCAACACTCTAACCACTTAGCAAAACTGGCCAAGGCTAAACCGAAATTCTGTAAATGTAACAGTGCAGTGTGTTTAAGGGTAGCCAAAAGCTTCATGACATATCAAATGGAATGGCCAGATGGTATAAAGTGGGGGTTGACACAAGCAAAGAGCTAAATGAGAGGCAGTGTAGCAGTCAGCAGGGCAAAACACCGTAGAATCCCTCACCAAACACCAGAAGAATCAAGCCCTCTTGTTGAGCTCCTAGGCACTGCACACTCTCCGGAGGATACACTCAAACCGCTTGAGTCTCTCCTTTAAATATCGCTTTAGTTGTTTTCACCAGCCTGTCTCCCTAACGACTCAAAAATATGTCTTGTGTCCCAGCGCTTAGGAGAGTATTGGGCATATCAACAGGTTCAATACCTGCTTGTTGAACAAGTGGTACAATTCAGTTTCATGCATTATTCGCACATCATCTCTAGATAATCTCCTCTAGACTTCTTTCCCTCTTCCATGTTCATTACCTTTTCGTCAGCCCTTTTAATTTGTTTACCCATCAAGTTCAGAGGTCCCCTATCTGGCATTCTGTTCTGATCCTTTTGTCAGGCTATTGCCAGATAAGCAGAGAAATGGCCCTGCCATGACTCTTCTTCCCAAGAGAGTATTTTCCCATAACCCTTATGCTACCCTATCCTCCACCACACTTTTTACTATTTACATTCCATGCCAAATTCAAGTAGTAACTTCTTCTGGGATTAAGCACACTCCCTCCCTGCCCCCACGATTTTCTAGGTTATACTAACTTTTACTTTGTTCATTGTAAAATGGCTCCTTTAAGCTTAACCTAAAGAAAAAGCCATAATAATAAAATCAAGTTGAAAAAATGAGGTACAAAGCACTGAATCAGAGGGATTAGGAAATTTTGTATTCGTATTTGAAAGAGTTTTTATTTTGATGACTCTAACTGTATAAGTTTGGAATAAATATGATTTCTCAGGTTAACAAATTATTTCATTTATAGGTGTACTCACTGGGCACTTACACTCTATTTTCCATACTTTTACCCACAAAACAAAAATTAAACGGGTTCTTCCTGAGGTCTCTGTCTGAAATAAAAGGTAACTGTGGGGGAATGTATTTACCTTCTCCTCTCTCAAGTATTTATAAGTTATTCATAGTAACAAATCCATCCCATGTAAAAAGGTGCTAAATCATAAATTCATTGACTGTAATTAGTTCCAATAACCTGTATTTACTAGAACCTAAGGATTTTAAAAAAAATTTATTTTATTGCTTAAAGTATTACAAAGAGTATTATATATGTCTCCTTTCTTTTTTCCCCCTGACATTCCCCCAGCCTCCCCTACCCCCCAGTGTCTTGTGTCCATTGGTTATGCTTATATGCATGCATACAAGTCCTTCGGTTGATCTGAACCTAAGGATTTCACTGTAGGAAAAATTTAGCAGGATTTAACAAAGACTGTCTTCTTAAAATGAGAGATGCTGGGGGGGTGGGGGGACTGAATGCTGGTGTTCAAAGAAGGAAAGGGGTCTTGTTTTTTACTGCGTATAATTTCCTAACTTTGGATTTTTTTTTTTATGTGTATATGGTACCCAGTCATAAAACTAAAACCTGGAGTTATGTAAAACTTGGGAGTGATGTAAGCATCATGGCACAGTGAGAAGACTCCTTTGTGTCTCCCCATTAGATTAAAAAAAAAAAGAGGGAATAAAGGAGGAAAAAATCATAGAAAACCACCAAATTAAATATGAGAGAGAATCACAAGGGTAAAGAAACAGTGGAGACACAGAGTAACCAGAAAACAAAAAATGGCTGTTGTTATATTCTCATATGTCAATAATCACCCTAAATGTAAATGAACTAAACTCACCAATTAAAAGGTATAGAGTATCGAGATGGATTACAAAAGAACGAACTATATGTTGCCTGCAGGAGACTCAGCTCCAAAGATAAACATAGGCTTAAAGAGAAGGGGTGGAAGATGTCACTCCAAGAAAATGGCATTTAGAGAAAAAAGCAGTGTAGCAGTACCTATATGAGACAAAATAGATTTCAAAATAAAAAAGTTGAAGAGAATCAAAGATGGACATTTAATAATGATAAAGGGGATAATTCATCAAGAAGACATAACACTTATCAATACATATGTACCAAACCTGGGAACACCAAAACATATAAAGCAATTATAAACAGACTTAAAGGAAGAAACTGACAAAATTGCAATGATAATAGGCAACCTGAACACCCAACTCATAGATCATCCAGACAGAAAGTCAATAAGGAAATACTGCTTTAAATGACACATTAGACCAAACAGAATTAATTGATATTGACAGAACTTTCCACCTCCAAAAACTAGAATACACATTCTCAAGTGCACATTGGAATTCTCAAGGATAGACTATATGTTAGTTCACAAAACTAGTCTCAATAAATTTAAGACTGAAATCATACCAAGCATATTTTCTGACCACATGGTATGAAATTGGAAATTAACTACAAGAAGAAAGCTGGAAAAACCATAAATATGTGGAGATTAAACAACATGCTACTGAATTACTACTGGGTCAAAGAAGAAATAAGAGACCAAAAAATACACAGAGACAAATTAAAATGAAGATATGATGTAACAAAATTTTAGGGGTGCAGCAAAAGCAGCACTAAGAGGGATGTTTATACCATTACAGGCCTACCTCAAGAAACAAACAAACAAAAAAACCCAAATAAACAATCGAACATTATACCTTAAATAACTAGAAAAAGAACATATGAGGCACAAAGTCAGTAGAAGGAAGTAATAAAAATAGAGCAATAAATGAAATAGAGAAAAGACAATAGAAAACAATAAAACAAAGAACTGGTTATTTGAAAAGATAAACCTCTGGCTAGAGGAGAAAAGAGAGAAGACGCAAATAAATAAAATCAGAAGTGAAAGAGGAAGTTACAATGGACACTGCAGAAATACAAAGGATTATACTAGAATACTATGAAAAGATATACACCACCAAACTCAATAACCTAGGAAAAATGTACGAATCCTTAGAAGTATTCAACCTTCCTAGACTGAATCATGAAGAAGTGGAAAACACATATAGATGGATCACTAGTAAGGAAATTGAAACAGTAATAAAAAAAAATCTTGTCCTAGCCGGCTTGGCTCAGTGGATAGAGTGTTGGCCTGCGGACTGAAGGGTCCCAGGTTCGATTCTGGCCAAGGGCACATGCCTGAGTTTCGGGCTCGATCCCCAGTAGGGGGTGTGCAGGAGGCAGCCAATCAATGATTCTCAATCATCATTGATGTTTCTATCTCTCTCTCCTTCTCCCTTCCTCTCTGAAATCAATAAAGAAATATATTATTTAAAAAACAAAAACAAAACAAAACTCTTTAAAAAAAAAAGTCCAGGACCCGAAGGCTTCACTGGTGAATTCCACCAAGTATTCAAAGAAGATTAATATCAATCCTCAACCTCTTCCAAAAAATTGGAGAGAGAATACTTCCTAACTCATATTGAGGCCAACATTAATTACCCTGATACCAAAACCAGGCAAGGAACACGAACACACACACACACACACACACACACACACACACACACACTACAGGCCAATATCTCTGATAAACACAGATGCAAAATCCTAAACAAAATACTAGCAAATTGAATACAGCAATATATTAAAAGAATCAGAGTCATGATCAAGTGGGGTTCATTCCAGGGATGCAAGGATGGTTCAACATCCATAAAGCAATCAATGTGATTATAACAATAGGTGCAGAAAAAGCACTTGACAAGTTATAACATCCATTTATAGTAAGACACTCAATAATAAAATGGGTACAGAAGGAAAGTACCTCAACATTATAAAGTCCATTATGACAAACCTTCAGGTACCATCATACTCAATGGTGAGAAACTAAAAACTTTTCCTCTAAGATCAGGAACAAGACAAGGATGCCCACTCTCATCACTGCTATTCAATAGTACTGGAAGTCCTAGCCAGAGCAATTAAACAGAAAAAGAAAGAAAAGGCATCCAAATTGGGAATGAAGAAGTAAAACTGTCACTATTCACAGATGACATGACTCTATATACAGAAAAACCTAAAGATTCCACCAAAAAACTATTAGAAGCAACTAACAAATACAGCAAAGTTGCAGGATACAAAATCAAGATATAAAAACCTGTTGCATTAACATATACTAACAACAAAATATCTGAAAGAGAAATGAAGAAAACAATCCCATTAAGATCACAACAACAACAAAAAAACCAAAATACCTAAGAATAAAGTTGGGAGATGAAGAATCTGTACACTAAAAACTACAAGACACTGTTGAAAGATTTAATGCAATCCCTATCAAAATCCCAATGGCCTTTTTTCACAGTAATAGAACAAAAAATCCTCAGATTTGTATGGAATCACAAAAGATCCCAAATAGCCAAAGCAATCCTGAGAAAAAAGATAAACTATACTACAAAGCTACAATAACTAAAACAACATGGTATTGGCAGAAAAACAGACACAAAGACCAATGGAACAAAATTGAGAATCCAAAAATAAATATGGGCAATTTTCAACAAAGGAGCCAAAGAGATATAATGGAGAAAGGAAAGTCTCTTCAATACATTTGGGAAAACTGGAAAGACACATGCAAAATAAAACCTAGACTGCTATTTGACACCATACACAAAAACTAACTTAAAATGGAGTAAAGACTTGAATATAAGACCTGAAACAATAAAATACATAGAAAGAAACATAGGCACTAAACTTATGGATCTTGGTCTCAGAGAGGTTTTGGTGAACTTGACCCCAAATGCAAGGGAAGTAAAAGCAAAAATAAATGACTGGGACTACATCAAATTAAAAAGCTTCTGCACAGCAAAAGAAACCATCAACAAAACAAAAAGGTCTCCAACAGAATGGGAGAAGATATTTGCAAACAATACCTCTGATAAAGGGTTAATATCTGAAATATATAAAGAACTCAACAACAACAAAAAATCCTATTTAAGAAATGGGCAGAAGACCTGAATAAGCACTTTTATAAGGCAGTCACCTATGACCAACAGAAATATGAAAAGATGCTCAACATCACTAGTTATAAGGGAAATGGTAAAGCAAAACCACAATGAGATACCTCCTCACACCTGTTAGAATGGCTATAATCAATAAGACAAGAAATAACAAGTGTTGGAGAGGCTATGGAGAAAAGGGAACCCTCATATTCTGCTGGTGGGAATGTAAATTGGTGCAGCCACTATGAAAAACTGTATGGAGGCTCCTCAAAAAATTAACAGAGCTACTATATGAGCCAGTAATACCTCTTCTGGGTCTATATACCTTAAAAATGTGAAAACACTTACTTGTAAAGACATATGTACCACGGCATTCATTGTAACACTATTCACAATAAAGACATGGAAACAACCTATGACACGTGTCCTTCGCCCGATGATTGGAAAAACACGATATGGTACATATATACAATGGAATACTACTCAGCCGTTAAAAAGATGAACTATTGCTATTTGTGACAATATGGATGGATTTTGAGAGTATTAATAAATCAAACAGAAAAAAAGCAACCGTATGATTTCACTTGTATGTGGGATATAAACAAAAAGCAACAAAAATACAAACAAAACAAACAAAAAACCAAACTCAGTGATACAGACAATAGAATGGTGGTCACCAGAATGGAGGGGGATCAAATATATTGTGACAGAGGAGACTAGAGCCTTGTCTGAGTAGCTCAGCTGGTTAGAGCATCTTCCTGATACACCAAGGTTGTGGGTTTAATCCCTGGTCAGGGCACATACAAGAATCAACCCATGAATGCAGAAATACGTGGAACAACAAATTGATGTTTCTTTCTCTTTCTCTCCCTCCTCCTCCCTCTCTCTCTCTCTCTCTCTCTCTCTCTCTAAAAAAGGCAATCAATAAAAAACATAGTTATTTAGAAAAAATAGACTTCGGGTTCTGAGCACATAATAAATATACAGATGCAGTATTATAAAGTTGTATACCTGAAATGTATATATATAATGTTATTAACCAATGCTACCCCACTAAATGTAATAAAAAGAAACAAAAAAACTGAAACGTAAAAACAACCAACTTATGCCCAAAACGAAAACAAAAAGCCTGAAGACAGACGTCTGAAAATGTTAAGTTATTGAGGCTACATAAGATCATAAAGCTGGGACAGGGACAGAAAGCAAAGAGGTGAAATTTTTCAACTTGACCGGGGAGAGCCAGCCACTCCACTCCAAGGGAAAAGCAGTGTAACCAGATGTGGCCCTATGAATGCCAGGATTACCAGTCAGGTGTTCTGAGACAACAAAAGACAAAGCAGAACAACCCTGTAAGCCAGTGGTTCTCAACTTTGGCCGCACATTAGAATCACCTGGGAATCTTTTAAAATCCTGATT